TGCATAGGAGGTGAAACTGGCATCTCTCCATATACCCCTTGTGTTTTTGTAAATTTTTAATGGCCGATTTTCACCATTTTTCTGACCTTTTATAAACAAACCAGTTACAAGCAGCCCTTAAACAATATTAATATAATAACTTATATGGCTTACAATGTCAGAAATGCCCATTGTTCCATTGAACGAGCAGACGGAAACCATCATTAATATGTATTTGCATATTTCTGGATGCTACATTTATTTTGGATTTAGTACCAACCACAACATTATGGAATGATTGTCACAATACAAATGTAGAACATGTAATCAGGACTTTCTTTCACCATTAAAACATTTGCATATGTTCTCAAAATACTTTGTGTTTAAATAAAATATGTTGTTTAGTCGAAACGCTTAACTCAAAACCTGATTGCTGACCACACCTCACAGTCTTTCTTGGCATATGTTGTTCAGTTGTCATTATGGGACTGTAACTATGGAACGTGGTCATGTGATGAAAAAATAAAAAAACCTGAAAATACTGTCAGCTGTCAAATAGTTAATAGAAATCTTATGGAAAGCTTCTAAACAAATCAAACAAAGTAAACTGAAGTTCACAACATTAGAACTCAAATGGTATGTTTGTATTTTAAAGCATGATTTTGCGGTGTCTTAAAGTAGGTTTGATAAAGAGCTCTTTTATTCAGCTGCTGATTTCATGTCACTAAAGGGCGTCCAGGATTAATGTAGCAAATCCCGCTCTTAAAAAATTACACATTGTAAGCACCAATAAACCACCAACTGAAAAAAACCCGGAATTCAATTTTGAATTTCATCTCCCGAGCATTTATTAATAAAACGCTGCCTCGGTAGCAGAGCTATTGAAAATAGCTGAACCAGAAGAAGGTAAAGAGGAATAAAGAGCATTCCTGGGATGACAGTTATGATTGGTAGGTGTGAATGATTAGCCCAAAATTCTTCCAACAGTCCACAATGTGACATTATAAAGCATGCCTCAAATGAACGAACTGAAATGGCCCGTACAGTAACTCACCGTTAAAAAACCATTAAGACGGAAAAAGTAACTCTGCAAAAGTCATTTTTCAAGTGAGGTTTTCCAGGATAACAAACCTGAAGTTCTCATGTGAACAAATGGCCAAGCGATCAAAGTCCTGTATGTATCATAAAGGGAGTATTATCAAATACACTATAAACACTCTGATTCTGTTCTTTGCAGCTAAAAATATGGTTACAGATGACTTTTGAGGGGTTGTTTAAGTTTGTTGAATGTCATGTTCGACAGAGACTGCACTGGATTATTTATTTTAAACATATATTAGATGTTTTTAAGGTACGTGTCTTCACTTTTCACTTTGCCGTAATGTTCAAATTTCACTTAAAGCTGGGACAGTGTTCAGATTTAAAGGGGAGTGGTGCTGTAAAATAGTAATAAAATAATAGAGAATGCTGACAGCACCAGAGTGTGACTCTGTGTGGGAATTAACGCTGACTTACTGGCATGGACAGAATCGCAACGTACATGCCAAGTACACAGTGAGTCTGAATGTAACTCCACAACAAAAGCAGGAACTGTTGCCGCAACTAAAGCCAGGATTTATGACATAATAGGGTGGGCCAATACAGGGAACGGGTACAACACATCCAAAAATAGATGCTGAACTCTGAATTTATACATGAAATGAGGGTGTTTCTCTGGATGCAGAGTGTGTATAAGCTGGATATTTGGAACAGGAGGGTACACATTCTTTGAAACTGTGTGTTTGTCTGTGTGTGTGTGTGTGTGTGAATTGTGAAGTAGGTGCAGTGTGAAAAGGATGAAAAACGGACAGGAATACTTTTCTGTGTTGAGAGTGCAATTTAGCATGAATCAAAAGCAGCTTTCCTGGCTCCCGTTCCATATACTGCCGTCTGCCAGGAAATGGGATTTTTTTCATATTTTTTTGCAGGTAAAGTCTTTGCAGAATGGAATCAAATGAGGTATTTTTTCCCTGTTAAAGTGTTGGAAGTTTGGGGCAGACTAGCTGGAAACACAAGAAAGCTGAGTTTTGGAGACAGCAGGGGGGGTCTGCCATATATTTGTCCCAGCCCCAAGCCCCTTCTGGACCCCTTGCTGAATTGAATCATGACTGCTTGTAAAATACTGAGCCCTCTATTAAGTAATTTACCACCAACTGGTCTACAGTCTAGCCCGAAGTGATTCTACTAATCACCACTGCTCACAGAAATAATTTATGGGTTTTATTCATGAGGAGAAATGCAAGTTATTCCATCCAGTAAAACAGTGCAAGTAGGTACTGTAACCACATAAATGACTCAGGATTTTCAATGGACTGTATTCATCTTAATCACCTCGCAACCAATTCTAGCAATTAATCCTTAAAAATAGGCAAACACTTAAAGCATATTTATACTGTATATGTATGTTACAGTGGAGTTAATGTTGCAGTATTTAACGTTTGTCTGTTTCAACATTTATTTAAGCCAAATCAGTAAAACAGATGACAATTCAAAAAGAAAGAACAAGTACTGGTTAATAATAATTATATTGATATAATATAGAATAGATTGCAGGTAAATAAATGTCATAATGTTTTTTTTTAACCAATTCTATGGTAATCCATCCAACAATTTTTGGGACATTTCACTTCAAACCACAAATATCAACCTGCTGCCGGCACAATAAAAGGTCTGGGGATCATACAAGTCATTGGAATTCAACCTCTGGTGACCATGGATGTCAGTACAAACATTTCATGGTAATCCATCAAATAGTTTTTGAGATATTTCAATTTGGACCAAAGTGGTGGACAGAAAGACTGACTGACGGACCGACATTACCATCGCTAGAGCCGTAAAGGCTAAAAAAACAGACCAAGTCTGACGGATCATGATAATGAAAATGGTGTTAACTGTAGGACATTTTGTACAGAGGTAGAATTTCTATACAAATGTCAGCACAGGCTGTACTTTTGTCTTTTAACTGATAGGTTATGACCCTCAAAATGAATCACAGGAACATTTAACTGGGTTGAGACCAATCTGCTGCCAGACATAAACTGACTTTAACCACAACTGAGGGACTCCTGAGTTCACATACAACAATATCAATGTTCATGATAATGGTTATATTTCATTTGAGTCCAATCACATTTTACGCAGAGATCACTTTGATCAACATGTTAGTATTGTATCAAACATGAATTCATTGTCAATTGTGTGATTCACAACACAACGTCTGACAGGATGGAGCAGCCAGAGTTTATGGTTCTCAGTTAAAGGAAAATGTTTTTAATCAAATGCAGACTACAAATACTTTTGCATAGGATCACCATTAGCCATTTAGCGGAGCGGCTCTAGGGACGGCAGTCTATCTGTCGGTCAAACAATCAACAATCAAAGGACAGACAACTGTACAGACGTTCATGTTGCCCAGAGTACGAATCCTATTTTAGTTTAGTGATGTTCTGACTTCTCATCTATCACCACCATGATGTTCACATTTGTGGTTTGAAATATTGTAAGGACATTCATGTTGCCCTCAGGAGGAATTGTAATAACTTAAGTAATCTCTTCTTTTCATCAGGTCAAAACTTTGATTTGCCCAATACTTGGTTTTTAGGGCCAAATAACTGTGAAACTAATAAAATTCCCTTCAGCCTCAGCTGTACTTTCTGTTTGGTGCAAATGTTAGATGGTGCACATGGTAAACATTATACTTCAACATAAGCATGTTAGAATCGTTATTGTGAGCATGTTGATGTTAGCTTTTAGCTCAAAGCACAACTGTGCCTAAATACAGCCTCACTGAGCTGCTAGTGTAGCTGTACACTCTCAATGTCTTTGTTTTGACATCTTCTTATGTAGAAATGATTTAAAATAGGTGACAAACCAGTTGATTACCAATTAAGTGAAAGTGTCATTACAACTTAGCTCCTAGTAATAATGAATAGGAAAGTAATAATAACAAGGATAATGTAATGTAAAAGTCAAACTCGTAAAATATTACCATAAATAACAACAAAAAAGGTTTTATTTTATTTCTAAACCAATCAATTCCAAAATCAATATATGTACAGTGTATATATATATATATATATATATGTATATACATATATGTATGTATATTGATAGAAACCAAAAATGAAGCAATTCAAGTGATTTATAAGGAAATCAGCTGAGAAAAAAAAAACCCTGCCCTGCCCTTGTTGTATATTACTACACACATACATGCACTTTTAGCCACAGACTGACCTTTAATGCATGTAGTTATTATGTTTATTATGTTTTTAGTAAAATCAAAAATATGACTGGGTGCTTCAGACTGGTTTTATCTCTCAAACAACACAGTGAACCTGGGATTGTATACGGCTGCTTTAATGCAAAGCGCTCCACTTTCCTTATTAGCTGAATATGAGAGATACCTCAGAGCCCACTGTAACCATTCGGTGGTGAGCTGGTTTGCTGAGGCAGAGTGGAGGTGAATTCAATGGTCTGCAGTGAGAGGCTGTGGGTTGGGTTTCTCTGAGGTTATGGTCATTCTCCCCTGGGAAAGTGGTTAGGCCTGGCTGTTTACTTTGGAGTAACCCTGCCCCTCCCCTTATACACTCTCGCTTGGTAACCCATGATTACCTCCAATGGAGCACACCTGTCATTTCTGACCTCTTTATGATGAAATTATTAGTACATTTTATTTAAAAAGTACAGCTAAAATTATTTAAAATGCATTTTTTTCCAATCTCGAGTTAAGTATACTCTTTGTTGTATGGTTGTTTGGATGTTGCGTGGGCGCCACCTTCTTGTCACAGCAGGTGTGTGTGAAGGATCGGGGGGAGGGAGAGAGGCGAGGGTGGGGTGGTTGGGGAGGGTGTTAGGACTGGACTTAATGGGTAGGGTCTAAGGTAGTGCCTGCATCTTCACCCAAAGAGCAGTTTTGACTTCGCTCTGTGCCTCTCTCAGACAGACTCACACAGACTCGCTCACATTGCTGGACTGAAAAACCCTCTCAGCTCGGCTCTCCGGCCACTAGAGAAGATGCTTCATCGTTACTCTTCATGAGATTACTGCAAGACTGAGTGGAGTGGCAGCCCTGCAGCTGATGGGCTGCTGCTGCTGCTCTTTCCATCTTTATCTCTCTTTTAATTGGGACGCTGGGGAGAAATAAATAGCTCAGCACACACTGTTGGGAGGCAAATGAATGGAACAGACTGACGGGGGATTTCCCCAGGCTGCCTTCACACAAATGGACCTGGACACAAGTTTTGAACTGGCCAAACTGTTTCTGGAAGAATAATGTTTCTTATTGTTTTGTAAATCCATTTTTGCAGTTAAGAGCTTGCAGACTGACCTTTTTGTGGATTTTCACTGTTTACATTCACACCATGTAAGTCTGAGTTTCTTTTTTACTTTAATAAACAGTTTACTGGCACAAGTAATGCTGCCTGGGAGATCTCACGTACGCAGGAACAGGGTCATTTTTCAGTTGTCTACACTGCTACTGACATAAAGTATCATAGTAGATAGAAAGTTTAGTATAAATTCATAAAACATGTTCATGTTCAACATGTTTTGCTTAATTAATTAAAGTGACTGATATAATATTTCTTGTGTTCTTCAGATCTTAGGCTCAAGGATGTGCTCTATAGTCATGCTTCATCAGTGGAGTCTGGCTGTGTTCTTGCTGTGCTCTCCAGTGACTCTTGATGGGAAACCAGTTGATGCACTTGGTAGCAGAACGTGAGTTCTTTTTTTATATTTATTTTGATAACCCTAGAACCATTGAATGTTACGCAACATGCAACTTTAAAAACTAATGACTAGTTCAATATTGAACATAGTAAGTCACCTTTTTTTATATTCCTGTTGTTTGCATTTTACAGTTTACCTGTTCAAATTAAATTAAGGTAACTAATGTTTTCTCAGTTTCAACTCTGGCATTTTGGGTTGTTGAGCTCAGATTAGTGATGGCTCTCACACACTTGTTTATGCTGCCACCTACTGTACTGAAGTTTCCTGGTGCCTGACCTTGCATTTCAGCTGACACCACTTCTTTAACTGTTCCACAAATGACAGTGTGGTGTACCATGAAATAAAAAAAAAGCATAAAAAAGATTGTGAGATTTTGTTGGTGCCAACTCAGAGATGATGAATTCTGGTTTCATTGTGTCACTGGCAATTTAGGAGAAATCAGACAGGACAGAAGAACACATTTCTGACAGACTTAAGAGAAAAATTATGCTGTTTTAGGATGTTATTAGCATTAATGCAACCTCCCTTGTTGATCTGACTCTGTCTTTTCACGTCCATGCCCTAAGGAGGAGGTCAGTAAGCCACGTCCAGCTGATGCATGACAAGGGCCGCTCCTTGCAGGAGTTCAAGCGTCGCATGTGGCTACATGAACTGCTCGAGGAGGTGCACACGGCTGATGAGCGAGCGCCACTTGTGCAGAGCAGAACCCAGAGCCAAACCTTCAGTGGGAATGCCCTGCATGAGAAGCCCCCAGGGGCCACAAAGAATCTCCCTGACAGGTTCAGGCTGGACAGAGAGGGCCCTAACCTGCCCCAGGAAACCAACAAGGCTCTGGCTTATAAGGACCAGCCACTAAAAGTGGCCACCAAGAGGAAAAAAAAGGTGAGGTTAGGCCGACGTAGAGAGAGTGACAAAAAGCGGAGACGGGCGCGGTCTGTCTCATCAAAGGAGCCATGAAGGACGTAACACCCCAGCTAAGAGACTGCCAATAGCCTTTATATGGTACTGGACTAAGACACTGATGTAGGTACAACTAGACTGGGATCTGAGAGACTCAACCCATGGCTGACTCAGTCACTTCATATTACGGCCCCGGAGTTGTGCTTGTATGATAATAATTTGCTATGTTTGTATTTTCAATCTCATACTTCATCATAACATCTTCTTCAGTCCATATTTATTTGGAAAATCTGTAGGCCTGTGTAACCCTGATTTACATCCAAACAACGCCATATGTTGTCATCTCTATCCAGCTGTGTGCGCAAGTAGATCATAAGAGGAACTATTTATTACCTGAATATAATGTAACTTCACAAAATTGGGAAGCTGAATGGTCTACTTTTGTTTGGCTCTATATGTGTTGACTGTCGTGGACATAGTTACATGCAAACTGTTCACTGAATACATCTGTTGGAACTGTTCTGCCATAATTTATTTCACTTTTAAAGTGTGTATTTATTTTGTGAATGTATCACGGTGCTGCTGACTAAATTCCATAATGCACTTTAGTTATATCCTGTTCATGTTCTTGTGTGGTTGAGTTTTGATTTGATGTTTCTTTTTGATGGTCCTGCTTTCCTTTCCCACCTTAGATCCCTCATGGACTTGTAACTTATTGGATGCTTCATCAAACCCACTCTCACCGTTTTACATTATAGTTTATTTTTATAGAACAAGCCTGAGACGGCGGCTCTCAGACTCATTTAATGTTCTTCACTTGCACTGAGGACATACTGTACATGTTTCCAGTTAATCAAACATTAAAAGTGTAGCCATTAGAAATATTTTTGATTCACAGTGTCTTTGTTCACTAGCCATATGTGGCTCAAATGTGTAACTTAGCATTTAAGACAGGTAGAGCTAAAATGATTGGTTGATCGACAGAAAATTAATCAGCAACTATTTTGATTATCAGTTGATTCTTTATGTTTTTTTTTTTAATGGTAAACATTGCCTCAATACAGCTTCTCAAATATGAGGATTTGCTGCTACTAATTGTCTTTTGTGATATTAAATTGATCAGGATTTTGTTGTGGACGAAACAAGACATTTCAAAGACGTCACTTAGGGCTTTGAAAAATCGTGATGGTATCTTCATGTTATAGACCAAATAATTAGTTGAGAAAATAATGTGAAAATTAATTGATAGCAAAAATAAAGTTAGTTGCAGCCCTAACAACTAATCAGATACTTAGACTACCCATGACTGTGTATTTTAAGTGGTGGAACTGAACACCTCAGCCCTCCTCAATTAGTAATACACTGAATGCTAGTTTTGTTTTTGCTTAAGAGTAATATGCATAAAATGAAATGTACAGATCATATTAATCTGCAGGTTAGGGTTAGCTCCCTATTTTACCTGAGGTTGTGTGTACACAATGTTAGAATATAGTGAAAAATGCACAATGTCACAGAACTCAAGGTGACGTAATCTGGAGCCAACAAATAACATGTTTGATTAAAAAGTGATTTAAATTATAAATAGATCATCAAAATACTCTGACAGTTTCCTGCCCCAAGTGATCGATTAGTAAACTAATTATTTCAGCTTTATGATATTCTTCAATGCAATACATCAAACAACATGGTCAGTTAGTCATTTTATCCCTAAAAGCTCAAGCTGATAAGGAGTAGACCTGTATGCACACTACCTGCCTCTGAATAAAGAATCAGTGGCTCGCAATACAAAAAGTATCTGTCCTGCTGAAGTGTCTTTGAGCAGGGGGTTTTCTGCTGTGTAGGATTTGGTTCAAAAATGTTTTTGAAAAATTAACTATAAAGAGGATAGAAACATACAGAAACATCAATGTTTTTGTTGACTTTTCTGCACCGACAGAACAAAAACGAAGCTGTTAATGTCCCTTTTGAGAACATGTGGCATTTTTAACAGCCTGTGACTGCACGGCACAGACACTGGTAATTGGGGGGGGTTAGCAAATGCACCAGCATCAGCTATATCCTGTGCTAAGAGCAGCAGTGTACACCGTAGGCCATTAGCTGACACAGAGTCATAAATGCTGTGGAAAGCCTGATAAAGCTGCTGTCAGGAGCCTGTAGCTCACACTGAAGAAATCAATCAAACAATGGAGACAGACATTAATATCTCCAGAGAAGGGGAGGAACAGAGAACGTAATCGATGGACTGGTCTTTTGCTCTTTGGAGAGTGCAGATTTTTAAATATATTGCATATAGTCCCAAATCTCAAAAACAATCTCCATAGAGAGAGAGAAGACTTTAACAGGTCAGGAAAGGTCAGTGTTTACAGCAACCTAAAAAGGGTCACAAAAAGATTGATATACTGTAGACACACGATCAACTACAAAGGTTCCCAATGTCAAGTGAAGCTGTTACACATACGTCCTCTAATAATATTAACAAACCAGGCATCTATGGCACATCCCTGTTCTGCAGCAGCTGGTCTGAGGCCATTTCTCTTTAAACCCAGTCAACCAGAATCAATTTGACCCAAGTGATGTTTACCTTTCTTCCCTCTACATTCAGCAATCACACTTTGTAATGAGTCCTGAGAGGCTGCCACCTCTCTCTTCTTCAGTCCAGTTTAACAGGATGGACAACAGTAAACGAGAATTCTCCAGATTACATTATGAGGATAGTTCACTCACAAACATGAGCCTGAAGATACTGCTTTGAGGAACGACGATGGTGAGTACATCAAAATGATGGATAAATGTTCCATCTGACACCATTTTAAAATGCACACGAGTTCAGTTGAAACATAAAACTGTTGTCAAAATGTTAATGAAATTGTAAATTGTATATAGTTATGTTTGTGTTGCATGTTATACTTCGTATTTGTTTTGTGTAAGTACTGTATATGTATTTTGTGACATATTGTATCTTCACAGACAACCAAAATTGCAGTTGCTATGTAAAAAATTGTAATTGTAAAAAAGTTATATGATATATACTTTTCTATCATTGTATTTTGTCTACAAAATCCTTTCAGATGCCATCTGATTAACTAAAAAATGTTGTTGGCCAAGCTAGAGACAATCTCATATGAAATGTAACTTGGGTAATAAATTGGGAGGCACCTAATGACTATTTTAATTATCGAATCAATTAACAGATATTTCCTCAATCTAATCATCTTGTTTTGTCTACAAAATGTCAGAAAATTGGGCCCAATTCCCGGGGCCCAATGTGACGTATTCAAATATGCTGTTTTGTTTAACAAAGATATTAAGTTAACGACGTGTATGACAAAAGAAGGATCAAATTTAGAAAAGCTGGAACAAGCAAATATTTGGAATTTTTGTAAATTACAATTAGAAAATTACAAAAATACTTGCTAATTAATTCATTTTATGTTTATTTTTTACTTTTTTTTGAAAGGTGATTTCAAGTCAGTGATAATATGGCTGTTCCCAACACCTATGGGCTGATCTTTGCCTGTACCTGTGGAGTGATCCTGGGCATTGGGCTCTGTGCCAACCTGCTGGTCTTTTCTCTGTTTGCAAAGTACAACACATTGCGTAAGAACCGCCTCGACATCCTCCTACTCAGCATGACTCTGGCTGACTTCCTCACCCTCCTCCTCATCCCCTTCACTTTGCACTCCGCTGTAATCCATTCCTGGCCTCTGGGTGATACCTCCTGCAAGGTCTACCAGTTCCTGCTGGCCTTCAGCCTGGCGGCCAGCACCTACTCACTGTGTGCCGTGTCTATGACCCGCGCCATGATCATCACCAACCCATACCAGCCACCCACCATGGACCTGGTCATCCTCATGTTTGTCCTGGTCTGGGCCCTCAGCTTCTTCATCAGCCTGCCGCTGCGTATGTTTGCCACCAAAGACAGCCTGGGCCCAAGCATGGCCAACTTCACCTTCTGCCTTCCGACCATTCATGAGCACCACTACCAAGTGGTCCTAAGCCAGTTTGTACTTTACTACTTTGTTCCAATGCTAGTCATTGCCTTTAACTACGTCCGGCTGGCTCTCTTTCTCCACAAGAGCCCTGTAATGTCAGTGTCCAGTGCCAGGAACACCCGTCGTGCCTCTGTCATGGTGTTCCTGGCTGCTGCCACCTTCTCAATGTGCTGGCTGCCTGGTTATGTGCTGGAGCTGTGTGTGTACCTGGGGCTGTATCGCCATGGACAGGCTTGGGATATGTTCTATTTTATCTGTACTGTGCTGCAGTACCTGCACCCCTGTATCAACCCTGTGCTGTACGTGCTGCTGTCAAAGCGCTACCGCCACAGGAGGGCAGCCTGGCTCTTCAGCTGTAACAGGAACAGAGTGCAGCCACAGGTCATCAGCGTCACCACAGACAGCTTTTAAATACAGCTGATTAAGCATCAAGCAATTAGTTGGCGGCATTCAGGGATGCTATTTTATATGTACTGTTTATACAAATCAACTACATTTGTGAACAATGACATGGATGTTTTTGTGATTAATTTCCATATTTTAGGTATAAATATAATAAGAAGACAAGACAGACGATAAAATAATAGTTGCCTACAATCACATTTTCTCAAGACATCCATCAATCACAACAAAAAGCAGAATTAATCATCACAATTTAAGTATCTGTATCAATTCTTATGGAAACTACATTAGCCCACTGTAATTATCCCTTAATATACAGAACTGAAAAGGGTATTATGATGCCTTCATAATGCTGCATTTTGATTACATTTCTGGGCAGTACATTGATAATATTAACTCATACATTTTTTTTAACATGCTAATGGCATTAAGCCTTGTGAAGCATTTTGTGTAGTATTTGTATTTATTTGTTAAGAAATCGGTTTTAGTCTTTTGAGTGTAAATTTATAACTTAATCTGTGTTTAATAAGAAAAAAATATTTTATGTTATAATCATTTGAAATAACATAATATTAGTGTCTTGAATGAAACTGAGACTTTTTCTCCATATTTATTTTTTTCACAATGGCAGATATACAATGTTATACTTTCCGAATGTATCTGTAGTGAGTATAAAAGACAGCGATGCAGGATTAGTTTTAGCGTGGTGGAAGGATGTCTTTTGTCTTTTCCTCTTGTGCTGTGTCTTACTGTGAGCAGTGAGTTTGTCTCTTCAGTGCCACCAAGACGAAATCCTGGACATTTACTCTACAGGACAGGATAGCAGGTCTATCTTCGTTGTGCTAATTTACTGTAATAAAGAACACAAAACAACACAACAAACAAAGTTGTTGTCTATTTATTTCAGCTTCTATTTCATGCCAACAATACATAGAGGTACCATTTAGACACTCCATAGAGATGAGTTACATCACATTTGAAAATTCCAGCACAACAAGCTCTAAAAAAACATGCAAATGCTCATATGACAAATAACCTTTCATAAAGTGGCTATTAACCGAGCAGCAACAAATCATTCAGTAAGTTTTGCTAGCTTGGCAGTGGTAGCTGTGCCATTAAATACGAGCTATGCGATCCACTAACGTTCCACCTCCTCACTAGTAATGAAAAACTGCGAGGTAAGCTGCAGCCTTTTAGTCCTCATACAATTTAATTGAGCCATCAAAAGTGACATTTAAGAGGCCAAAGTGTCACAATGGACTGAACGACAAGATCCATATCATTGTGATCATAATTGTTTCAAGGCAAGTTTCAGTTTATTACTGCACATTTAGCATATTATTAACATTTCTAAATATATCCTACTTATAACACTTATACTGAATGTGTCAGTCGTATTGTGATTATAATTGTACCTGTATAGGACGCCATCCAGGAGCAAGATGCATGTATGCAAAGTACAGAAATGGGAAGAGGAAGTGTGATTTTGTTCAGCTATATTTCTCCTAAATACAATACTATCTCATATATATATATACAGGATTACACAACATTTTATTTTAGAAGAATTTAGTTCTACACTGCGACTGCAATACTTCAATTCAGCCATCAGATATAGTGGCTGCACTGGATGTACCCCCATGTGACATAAGCAAACACAAACTGACCATGAAAAGAAGAGAGAGAGGTGGGAGGAATTCTGGGGGGGGGGGGGTAGTAATCACATGCTTATTATGCAATCAAACACACAAACAGAAGGCACATTACCAACAAAGTGTTTGGGGGATGACTGCTTCTTTAAAAATTAGTTTAATCCCCCAGGAGCTGATGGCTGTCTGCTGGGCGGATCAACAATAACACCACCAGCTCCAGCGTGCCATTCTTTGCACACTAGCAGCACACACCTGTGTTCCCACTTTTTTTCTCCGGCAGCTATAGGCCTGAAGTTTGGAGTGAGACAGGAGTGCAGCAGGTGTTGTAGTTATACAGAAAGCAAAGGGATTGGGAAAGGGAATAACACGTCTGGCGGTCATTGCAGTAATAGGAGACAACCTGCCCCTCCCTCTGTCAGCTCGCCCCCTGACTTTTGGCCTTCTCTTTAGCGTACAGCAAGGGCAGCTGGCCTGATTCGTACAGACCGTCATCTGTAGACCATCAGCATGTAGGATATAGTTAAGCAATAAAGAACACGTGCTCAGGCGCTTTTCCACAATTTTTGGTCACCCGCCCTTCATGAAATCTGTCCAGAATTT